TCAGTGACCAGAGCCTTGACCTGGGCCTAGTCCCTACTCTGCCTCTCCTTAGCTGTGTGAGTTATCCAAAACAGGGTCTCTTCACCTCTGACAGTGGTCATCGTAGCACCTGCCTACAACGCCCATCAAACCACCACACAGAGTCCCTCCTCTGGGTGGGTGCTCACTGTCTTCCCCCTTCCCTGAGCACCTCCCTCCTCTACCCTGCTCACGCTACACTTCCTTCCAGAAAACTTCTAAGATAGCCTAGCCCCCTGAGTAACACTATACACAACATAAGCGCCATGAGATTACTTTCTAAAGATGTTTCTCCTGCCCCTCCACTGTCCCATACAGTTGTAGACAACAGAGGCTGCAGCCCTCAGCCCAGGCCTGGCTCAGGGCAGTGGGAGCTTGTTCAAGAGGAGCTGCCCAGGTAGTAACAAGAACAAGAAGCCTGGGCCACAGGGCACCCAGTGAGACAATGGAGAAAGCAAGGAGAGGAGAAGCAGAAAGAGGGAAGAGAGGCCAGGAGAGCTCGGAGATTCAAGAGCATGGTGGGCAGGAAGGAATGGACACACAGAGAAGACACAGCTGGCCAGCCAGCCCTCTTGCAGGCAAGGCAGAGACGGCAAGACAGAGGGGACCAGGGCAGAGCTGCGAGGGGGGAAAGACAGAGTGTGCGGGCAGATGGGGGTGACAAGTTGCCCCACGCTCACCTCCCCACCACCTGCCCACGGGGCCAGAGGCCAGGCTGGCCAAAGGAGGTCAGAGTGACCAGCATGGGGATGCCAGGGCGAGGGTCACACAGTGACGGGGCACAAATGAAGGCAGTCGTGAGCGAAGATGGCTAGCGGCCCCGGGAGCCTGTCTGCAAATGTGGGAGGCTCAGCTCAGAAGTCACAGGCGCTAATCTGTGCTGCACTTCTGCATGCTATCCACATGTCTGCCTGGCCCTCCTCAGTGTCCTGCTCGGCTGCACTGGGGCCAGAGCTGGGAGCAGGCCTAATTCCTGTCCTCAGAGCCTCCAGCTCTAGATTCCTCCTCTGGGCGCCCTGGAATCACTCTGATGATCCTCAGCTCCCACCCTGTGCCCCACTGGGCTGGCCCACCTGGAAAACAACTGATGGCCTCTGAATGTGGGAAGCGGGGTGTGTATGCAGTGGGGCTCTCAGGGGCTCAGGCACTGGGGGATGGCAAGAGAGGGTCCCCAAGGGAAGATGAGAAGATGCAGGAGAGCAGCCAGAGTAAGGTGACGTCTGAGTCAGCTTGGCAGCCTGTCCCTCTTCCTCCACCTCCCGGGTCCCATCACACACACACACACACACACACACACACACACACACACACACACACGGGGCTGAGCTCAGAGCTATATATACCTCCCAGCTGGACGGCAGCCCCTGCTGAGTGAGGGCCCCTTCATCGACTCCCTGCGAGGTCCTGCCCTGGCTCAGCCCCCATGCCTGGTAAGAGGAGATGGGGATAAGCCAGCGTCTGGACCCCAGCAGGATCTGTAGTCAGGGAGGACAGGTGCTGTGGGGGCTGAGTGAGTCATCAGACTCATAGTGCCCCTGCCCAGAGCCTGACCCACCTGGAGCCCGGGCCAAGTAGAAGGGGGAGGTGGTGCAGGGAGGAGAGGAGCAGGCGGGGCAGGCTTCACAGAGCACACAAAGGCCGTTCAGGGTGATGGGGGAGCATCACTGGGGTAGGGGAACTGGTTCTACCCGTGGCTCTTGCACTTACTACCTAAGAGACTCTGGGAGAAACTCTTGGCCTCTCTGAGGTTCTATCTATCTCTGCATCTGCAACCAGAGATTATAATTCCTCCCTCCTCTCCTTGAAAAGATTGAAGCGATAAAGGGTATCAGAGACCACTGAGAGCCTCTATCTTCCTTGGCACAACTAAGAGGCTCCGGGACCCTGCACCCCTCCCCTCCCTCCCTCCCTCCCTCCCAGGTCCTCCCCTGTGTGATCCCCCTCCTGGTCTCTCTGCACAGGAGGAGAACCACAAAAGGGACACCAACATGGCCAGGGCAGTTTGCCAAACACCATTTTCAGCCTGTTTCCCCACCACTTAACAGCTCCCCTCCAGCCAAACAATTCCAACCCAAGGCCTGCCAGAGGCCCGCAGGCTTGCACTTCCCAAACTGGCTCAGTCACAATCTCAGGCTTGCACTTCCCAAACTGGCTCAGTTACAATCATCTGCTGACTGATAACAAAGTCTCTTAACCCGATTCCTTTACATGTGAAATGGGGAGAGAAATATCTACCCACAACCACTAAATAAAACTAAGCATCCCTCCCCAGACATCCACCACCAAGTGAACAGATAAACGAACTGTGGTCTATCCATACGGTGGAACGTTATCTGGCCTTGAAAAGGAAGTTCTGACATAGGCTGCAACGTGGAGGAGCCTTGAGGACATTACGCTGACTGAACTAAGGCAGTCACAAAAGGGCAAACAAACAACACCATATGATTCCACTTCTCAGAGGTGCCCAGAGCAGTAACATCCATAGAGACAGAGAGCAGAATGGTGGTTGTCAGGGGCTAGGGGGAGGAAGGGATGGGATGTAGTGTTTAGTGGGTACGAAGCTTCAGTTAGGAAGATGAAGTTCTGGGGATGGATGGGGCTGGTGGCCACACCACAATGTGAATCCACTTTCTGCCACTGAACTGTACACTTACAAATGGTTAAAATAATATACTTTATGTTATATATATTTTACCATACATGCACACACACACACACACACACACACACACACACACAAAGAAACATCTCAGCATTCAAAGTCTGGTCCACAGTGGCACCCAAATAAATGTCTGCTGATTCTTCCACATTCTGCCATCTCCACAGGTACCCTCAGCTCTTGCCCTTTCCTGAATGCCTCTTAGCCGCTTGTGTTTGCCAGAAAACTTGTGCTTGTCCCGGGCACACATCACAGCTTCCCCACAAGAGACCCTGACAACTCTCAAGCTAAACAGTTTGCCCTCCCCTTCCCCCCAACCCCTTCATACCTTCACACCTCAGCTCTTGATCAATACCCATCCCATTCTCCACTAAAGTAGTAGAAAGAGCCTAGAACATCAGTTCTCCATTCCTCTCCAGCTCTATGGGAAGAAACTATGTAAAGTGCTTGATCCCACATCTAGCACCCAACAGGTGTTCCATACACATCCACCGTCTTCTCCATGAGGCTTCCCAAGGGGCCAAAAATAAGAAGCAACTACTAGAGCAGAAAGTGGTTAGAGCAGGGGTGGTACGGGGTGTGGGGAGGACGATGCAGGGCATGGACACCTACAGAGAAGTAAGACAGACTCTGTAGGGATCCAGCAAAGCCACAGCGGTGGGGCTGGTGAGGAGAGATGAGCAGTTAGAACTTGTAACTGGTGCCCGAGGACAAGATCCAGGGTCCACCTTGCCCACCTTGCTTTCCCAACAAGTTAAAGAAAGAGAGGAATCACTCTGGCCTTGTAGGTAAAGCTGCAGGTAAAGAGTGAGTACCAGGTGCTGTGAGAGCCCTATACTCCCCAAGGCAGTAACACACAGGACCCATGTTCAGTCTAGTTGAGCTCAGTTGAATAGTGTCCCCCCAGAATTCTTGTCCACCCAGAACCTCAGAATGTGACCTTATTTGGAAACAGGATCTTTACAGATGTACTAAGATGTACACTGGATTACATGTGACTAGTATCCTTACAAGAGGTCAGGACACACAGGGAAGACAGTCGTGGGACAACAGAGTCACGGACTGGAGTGATGCAGCTACAAGCTAAGGAAGGCCATGGATTGTGAGCGACCCAGGAGCTAAGAGAGAGGCTGGAACAGATCCTGCCTCAGAGCCTCCAAGAGGAACCAACCCTACAGACACCTTGACTTCAGACCTCTGGACCCCTTAACTGTGAGAGAATACATTTCTGCTGTGTTAAACCACCAGTTTGTGGTCATTTTTCACAGAAGCCCTCTGAGGTGAATACAGCTAGCTCCCACGAACCCCTCACAGAGCGCCCTTTACTGTGTTGGAGGGAGGGGCACCAGCGTTGGATGGGGGAGAGAGAACCTGAATGTAAACTTCTGGGGGTGGGTACCTGGCCTAGAACCATTTTGTTGGGAGCCAGGGCAGGGCCCTCTGTTGTCAATGGTGCCAACCAGTTACAGAAATCCTCCCACCGCCTGCCCAAGACCAGTGTTTCAAGCTGGGGGTCCTGGGAGACTTTCCACTGGGAATGAAAGCCTGACCTGGGCCTTCCAACAGCTATTCAGTTTTTGGTTTTGTTTTACTTTTCCACATAACCTCTCTTCCATCCAAAAGTCAGCACAGCCCCAGGAAGACTGCTTGGTCCTTCCCACAGGGCTACTGGACATAAAGTATCTCTGAATGTTCTGAATCCTCAGCCACTCACAAAGATCAAGCCTTTCCAGATCACTCTGAGCTCAATGGGACCTTTCCTGAGGGAAAGGTCTACAGCACTCTGCTTGACTCTCTCCTGGAACACTCCACATCTGTCGTGTTGCACAGACATGTGTGTGCTCACTTCACCTACCCCCACCATATTGTGAGCAGGGTCCAGATCTTCCCCACTTAGGCTTGGCACACAGAAGCCTCACGACTGAGTGCATGAATGAGGGAATGAGTGAGTCCAGTAACCACCTTCCTAACCTCCCTTCACAGTCAAGGTAGGGAGCTGGGAGCTCATGAAGCATTTGCCTGGGGAACAGCTTATGGGATTTTCCCAGACTGCTCTGGCGGGAGGGGGTTATTCTTCTCCTTTCCCAAGCCTTCTACCACAGCTTCCCTCCCACTCTAAGGCTTCTTCTCACACACCCTCCCACACTTTGGGAACCCAGGTCAGTGGAAGCAGCGTCCACCTGATAAATGCCCTAGCGGTCATTCCCCCGTGCATTACTTGAAGAACCCCAAGGTTGCTGTGCCTGGCCCCTTGCCGGGCCCTATTTCCAGAGCTGGATCACGAGGGCAGGGGCCCACCACCCCACCCCAACAGACTCCTTACCGTACATCTTGCCCTCATCCGAGAGGATGATTTTGCGGCGGCCGCAAGGCGGGTAGATGGCCAGGGCCTCCTGGAAGCTCTGCTCGATGTCCGGACTCCATACACCCTCCGCATCATTGTCGATGGGCTTGTCCAATGCCTGGCTGCCCCCAGAGACGTTGCTCCCCTCAGGGGAGTTAGGAGGGCTCCACTCGTTGGAGGTAATGGTGCCGGCCTTGCCCTCCAAGGCTCCGCTTGGAGGAGCGCCCGTTGGACCTGCTTAGGCAGAAACCTCCGCTTTGGTGGAAGAACACATGTCTGTGGGATGGGGCACCCAGGGGAGTGCCAAGCCCTAGGATCAGTTGCCCTTCCTTGCTTGGCCACCCACAGCACAGGAGCTCAGAGGGAATAAGGCCAGGGACCCAGGGGATAAGGAATGAACTGAAAGATCTGGGAGCATCAAGAGACCTGGAATCTGGGGCAGGTCATGTCCCCTCTGTAGACCTAAGCTTCCCACCCTGTTAAGCGAGCACAAACATCCCAGGCACCTGGGATGACCTGACAGATACAGGGAGGTTGGAACTCAGAACTAAATCTCAATCTTCAGCAAAAAGACAGAATACTGACAAAATATGACAAGACTGTCTGTCTGCCTAAACCCTAGGTTAAAAAGACAGTCTTAACCCATACTGCAGAAAATTCCCAAAGATAAAATCTTGCTAAAGAGGTTCTCAAAATCTAAAATTACAACATAGAAGAAAGAGGAAACAATCTACCATGATCAAAATTCAATAGAATTAGAGCCCCAAGAACTAGAGATAACTGGACTATCAGATAAAAACTATTATATAATGGTATTTCAAATAATTATGACTTAAATAAGGAATTGGAAACATGAGAAAGAATTAGACACAATCAAAAAACACAAAGCAGACTGGAAAAAGAACCAAATAAATATTTTAGTCACTGAAGTTAAAACTCAATCGTTTGGGGCACCTGGATGGCTCAGTCAATTAATTGTCCTGCTACGGCTCAGGTCATGGTCTCACAGTTCGTAAGTTCAAGCCCCGCGTCGGACTCTGTGCTGACAGCTCAGAGCCTGGATCCTGCTTTGGATTCTGTGCACCGCCCCCCCCCCCCCTTCCCCACTCATGTCTGTCTCACTCTGTCTCTCAAAAATAAATAAATGTTTAAAAATATATATTAAAAAAACTCAATGGTTTAACTGAGATTAACAGCACATTAGATACAGCCGGAGAAAGAAGAACCTGGAAAAAATATCTTAAGATATTACTTGGAAATGTATTTTTGTAATGATGATAAAGAGCAAAGGAGAACAAAATAAGGCACTTCAACATACCTCCAATTAGCATTCCAGAAAGAGAGAATACAGAAAGTGAAGTAGAACAACATTTGAAAAGATAATAGCAAGGAAATTTTTCAGAAATAATGAAATACATGAATCCTCCAATTAAGGAACCATACTGAATCCTAACCAGGATAAATTAAAATAAAATGAACACATACTGTAAGGACACTGCAGAATACCAAAAACAAAGAATAGATCTTAAAAGCATCCAGAGTGAAAAAAGACAAATCACCTACAAAGGAAGGACTATGATGTTAATTGTATATACAGATAGTGAACTTCTCAACAGTAGCACAGGAGGACCCAAGTTAATGTCTCTAAACTGTTGACAGAAAAATAACTGTTAACCCAGAATTAAAAGCCCAACCAAAATATCATTCGAGAGTAAACATTTAAAAAAAAAAAAAGCATTTTTAGACAAAGATGGAATTTACTACTAACAGACCTTCACTTAAAAAAAAAAAAAAACAGTAAAGGAGGTATTTTTTTTAAAGGGAGCTTCTAGGAAAAGAAAGCATGACACACATGGAAGAGGTGAGCAAAGTTATGGTAAAATAAAAATGAATCTAAACAATATTAACTATATAAAAACAATAACAATGATGGTGGCTACGTTTGGTCATGCAATACACACACGTGTATGTATGTACATGCAAGAAAAACCATGTTTCTGAACCATACATTCTGAAGATGCATTTGCTAAAATTCCAGACCCAGTCACAATAAAAAATACTTATTAGCAAACTCTATAAACAAGGAAACTTCCTTAAATGTGACAAATGGCACCTTCCAAAACCCTACTGTGATGTTGTGATTTATAATAAGAAATGTGTATCTGGTCTTTGTCCCAGTTTCTAGCACAGAGCTTCTAAAACCCCTGGAATTTCCAAAGAGATGAGAATGATAAAGGTGTCTTATTATGTGAATGTGGTGACTTTTGGAATGCATGTATCTAAGGATGAAGGCTGGTGGTCAGGAGAACTAACCATGTAATTAGAGGGTTGGAACCTTCAGTCCCACACCACCACCCCTTTTGCAAAGTACAGGGAAGGGAAAGGGACTAGAGGTTGTATTAACTGCCAATGGCCAATAATTTAATCAATTGTGTCTATGTAATGAAGCCTCCATAAAAACAAAAAAGGAGGGGCTTCCGAGAGTTTGAGTTGGTGAACACATGGAGATTTGGGGAGAATGGCACATACTTGTAGAGGTTATGGAAGTTCTATGCCTTCCCCCCGACCTTGCCCTATGTATCTGTTTCACTTGACTCTTCTGAGTTACGTATTTTTTGTAATAAACCAGTAATCTAGTAAGTAAAGTGTTTCTCTGAATTCTATGAGCCACTCTAGCAAATCAGTTGAACTCAAGGAGGGGTTACTAGAACTTCCAATGTATAACCAGTGATAACCTGGGCTTGCCACTGGTATCTGGGGTTGGGGGGCAATCTTATGAGATAAGCCATTAACCTGTGGGATATGATGCTACCTCCAGGTAGACAGTGTCAGAATTGAATTGTAGGACACCCAACTGGTGCTAGAGACTTGTTGATTAGTGTAGGAACGTCCTCACCCCCCAACCCCACTCACACACACGCACATTGGAACTGGTGACCAGAACTTTAACATGCACAACACTTACTGATTAAACACTAGAAGCATTACCTTAAATTCAGAAATAAGATATCACTTTCAACATTCATACTCACACTGTACTAGAGTCCTAGCCAACACAGTAGGACAAGACAGATCTCAAGATTGGAAAAAAGGAAGTAAACTGTCGTTATTATAAGGAATTACAATAGAAGAGACTGAAGGGATTTCACAAATTACAATTACATTCTTTGATACCAGAAGTAAGATGGCATATCTTACTAATTTCTAAAAATATTCCGTCTAGAGGGGAGCCTGGGTGGCTCAGTTGGTTAAGCGTCTGACTTTGGCTCAGGTCATGATCTCACTGTTCATGAGTTCAAGCCCCACATGGGGCTCTGTGCTGACAGCTCAGAGCCCAGAGCCTGCTTTGGATTCTGTGTATGTCTCGCTCTCTGCCCCTCCCCAGCTTGCACTCTGTCTCTCTCTCTCTCTCTCTCTCTCAAAAATAATTTAAAAAAATTTTTTAAGAAAAATAAATAAATATTCCTTTTAGAAACCAAAGTAGTAATTTACCTACTGATAAATCTAACAATAGGTGAGACAAAGGAAATCATAATGGTTTTGAAAGACATAAAATGCCTAAATAAATGGAGAGGAAAATTGTGCTCCTGGATGGGAAAATATCATAAAGATGTTGAATCTTTACCAAAAAAATAATTTCAATGAAATTATGATTAAAAATTCCACAAGGTCTCAGGGCACCTGGGTGGCTCAGTCGGTTGAGCATCCGACTTCAGCTCAGGTCATGAACTCACAGCTCGTGGGTTCAAGCCCCGTGTCAGGCTCTGTACTGACAGCTCAGAACCAGAGGCTTGCTTCGGATTCTGTGTCTCCCTCTCTCTTTACCCCTCCCCGCTTGTACTCTGCCTCTCTCTCTCTCTCTCTCAAAAGCAAATAAAACATTAAAAAAAAAAAAAATTCCACAAGGTCTTCCATAAAACTTAACAAGCTGATCTCAAAATACATGGAAGAACAAAGACCATTCTCAAGTTGTCTTAACTCACTGTCTTCACCCTTCCTTTCTTCTCTTTGGTCTCATATTTTGCCAGACCCATTCCCTACATGTTTTCCTCAGGGTTCTGACCTGACCTCTCCTTTCAAAACCCCATACATACCCCCCTGGGGGATCCCCACCCACAGCTTACATTCCCACTGTATATTTTTGATTCCCAAATCTGTACGTCCTTCCTGAGTTTGGGCATATATGGCAACTGCTTACCAGGCAGTCCTAATCAGCCTTCTCTGAAGCTCCTCAAACTCAGCATGTCCAAAACCAAATTTTCAGCTTGCCAGTGAGTCCTGGTCCTCCTCCTCCTCCTCTGTGTCTCTCAAGAAATGACACCGCCATCCACCCAGAGGCCAGAAATCTAAGAATGTATTGACTTTTCCCTCTTATCTCCATAAATAATTAACAACCACATCCTATCTCCTAAAAGTCTTCTTGAAGCCACATCTCTTTCTATCTCAAGCCCTAATCCAAGCTTCCGCTAGTGCTCACCAGGATGACTGTGCCAACCCCATGTAGACTCCGTAATCCGTCACTGCAGCCACAGTGATTTTTCTACAATACAAATCTGATCATGTGATTCCTCTACTTAAAATCTTTCAATGGCTTTCCCATAATCTTACATAAAATGATATGTTCCACAATAGGATTTTATAAGGCCCTTCATCAACTGATTCCTGCTCTCCTGCCATACCTTCCATGCACCTACACGGTCCTCTATACTCTCTTCTTTGCACCCGGCCCTAACCCCCACACTCAATTAACCTAATAAGCTCTTTATACCTGGAAGGGCTGCCTGCAGCCTTCCTCCCCATCCCTCCCTCACCTAACTCCTACGCATCTTTAAGGTCCAGCGAAAATGTCATTTCCTCTGGGAGGATGACCCAGACCTCAAGTCTGGATTAGGCACCCACCTCTGAGCTCCAACAGGTCCCCGTGCTTTACATATCTGACCCTTCCATCTCCCATGAATGATGGGCCTCCACCATACGTCAGACTCCACGAGGGTGGGGATGGTTGTCTTTCTCTAAGTCCTCAGCACACTGCACAATGCGAAGAACAAAAGAATGAATAAATGAGTAGAGATTTGCTAAGTGTTTTTTGTGAAGTAATGATTTCCCTGTGGGGAAAATGAACTGTTCTGTGTTTAGTGTCAGGAAACCAAAAAAATATCAGTAAATGTCCGGACTTTGGCACACCAGGGGGAGAGCTTCAGTTGTAGGTTAATCCCTTTGGGATTTATCTTGGAGGTTTGTATAATGAAAGTGTGATGTCTGGGCATCAAGAGACTGGTTCTAGTTCCAGTGTTATAAGCAACCGTGTGACCATTGTCAAATTCGTCCATTTCTTAGATTGGGATCTAAGGTCCTTTCTGTCCTACAGTGCCTGTGGCTCACATTCACTGCCCAGGTCCTCCACTTCTTCTGGGACCGCTCCTACCATGCAGACTTTCACCTGTGGCTTTGCTCAGAGAAGGCTGGAGAACTGACCTGCCACGGAGAGATATCCCATATGCTGGTCAACAAGATCTGATGTTAACTAGCATGGGGCATGACGTAGAGTCAGTGCTCAGTAAGAGCTATATTAATTGTCACCATCGTTATCTAAGCTACAAATAATGCCTCACGTGGAAGGTCTAAAGTCCTAACTGGACCTAACAGATACATATACCTTCAGCTAGTATTGATTAATGTTAATAAATAAATAATATTAATACTTAAAGTCTTGTATGTCCTAACTTCAGCCTGGATTCTCTTCTGGGACCTGGCACTAAGCCCAAATGGTTACCCCAAGCCAGATGGAGGGTGCTATGAAGTCCAGAAAGGAGAGAAGGAAAGGAGGGAGGCCCAACCTCCCTGATACTATGTAAACCTTTCTGAGGAGTAGAGACCAGGGTCTCTGGGCCCTCTTTCACCACAGCTGAGCTAGACCAGCCAGGTGAAGTAAGCACGTTCAGCCCCTGTATTAGTTGGGCCCAGGGCAGCCCAGTGGACCACCAGACCTGGGGAAAACCAGAGAGTCCTGTCAGATACTGCCCCACAAGTGAGGTTTCTGAGGACCTGCGCTTTGTGTTCCCAAGATTGGGTCCATCCCAGGGGAAGCAAGGCAGGGGGTCAACCAAGGCCCCAAGCCCGGGGATTTGTGACTGAAATGGAGTTGCTCCCAGCCCTGTGTGGCCCTGCTGCCCCCAGGCCATAGCTCTCACTGGCTGGCCTCTCCCAGCCTCACCGCCCACGGCCCCAGGCCTGGCAGCTGCCTTCCCTCACCAGGCAAACCTCCCACACAGCCTAGGCCCTGCAGCTAGTAGAATGGAGGGTAAGCCAACACCAGTCCAGAGAAGGAGCCCCACTCCCCCTCCTTCCCCAAACCCTCCACAATGACCCCATGGGCCTGCCAGGACGAGAGCAGGAGGGGAGGACAGATGGCACAGTTATGCCTGGGCCATGTGCCATGAACAGAGGAATAAAAATAATCCTTGGCTTAGCTTCCAGGGCCTGGCCTGGAGGCCTCTGGTTCTGCCCCCAGCCCCACCCAAAAGCCCACCAGATGGCCCACCCAATGCCAGCTCCAGGCCCAAACAACACTCAGCTCCACCCTAGGGACCACAGATGCCAGTTACTCAGGAATTTGCAGGAGAATTAGAACTCACAGGCTTTTATTAAGATCTTTTTAATAATGAGAAGAATAAACTCCCCAAAAACACTTTCAGGAGAAGAAGGGGATCAGGATCCCCAGGTTATAAATGGAGAAACGAAGCCTCAGGGAGGGCAAATGGCTTGCCCTGAGAAAGTTGAAGAACCAGACCTCATCCCCTTTGGTCCTGTCCCCTGCCTGCTCCAGGGCCATATCCTCAATCAAAATCTCCATCTCCTGCTCAAAAGCCCACCCCTTCAGTACCCTTCCATGGCCATCAGGGACCACTAAGCTCTACCCTTCTCCCCCTAGCCTGCAGAACCCCCAAGATGCAACTCAACACAGGACAGTGCCTGATCTGTGTTCACCTACTTCCCCACTGGTCTGTGAGCTACCTGAGCACATAATTATTTCTTATACATTAGCACCTCCCCCAACTCTCCTGGCTCAGTGTTGGGAATTTAGATAGATGTCACCCTACTTTAGGTAGTACCAGTTATCCCACTGATTCCCTTTCCTCAGTCAAGAACAAATCTCCCACTCATTTCCTTTTATCATAGTATCTCTAACTTGTTGAGGGTCAATGCATGTTATAACCTCCTCCCTGTGCTCCCGACCCCAAATCGGAAGTGATGGAGACTGAAACTCAAAGTTTATGACACTTGCCTGGTATCATCCAGAATAAAGGAGAAACAATTCAGAGGGGCCCTGAGTTCCCTGCCCAATTATGAGGGTAGAAACGGTTCTCTCTGCCCCTTGTCTTCCGACTCAGATTCCAAGAGCTCTGGGATCCAGGCTAAAGGCTCCAGCTCCATCAGGGTCCTCATGACCCGTGGGCCCTGACATCCAGCACACCTGCCTCAGCTCTTACTCTGATGCTCTCCTGGGGCCCCTGGAAAGAATGGCCACCTTTATCCCAATGACTCTTTAAATAAGCTGAGAGGAAGCAGAAAATGGGATTTCTTTCCAGGAGAACCATCCCATCTCCCACTATATGAGTCTCAGAAGTATAAAGTTAGAGTAAGCAGAGGGAGCTGCTAAAGTAGTTAGCAGCTTCTGCCTCAATCTGAGAGCATGAGACCTTCTTCAGGCTGGTGGGCTTATCTGCAAGGCTTGGTAACCGAGGCCAGTGGAGTTATGTCTCTGAACCTCAGGTGCTTTGTTCAATCCACCATAGTTGTGGTTATAGAACATCTACGTTGGATGCAGTATGGATCCTTTGTATCATTACATTTCAGAGCAGAGACAAGAATGAGCCCTCCCATCATCATGTTGGCTATTCCCACTGGACTAGACTCTGGAGACTGGGCCCAACCGTACGAGTGCCAAACAGTGCTACACACACTGAACCACAAGTACAAGATGCAGAGCTCTGTGCAAGCTCCCTGATTTGGGGGGTTGCAGTAGATCTCTAAGTCTTCACTGCCCTGACCTCATTTCTTAGTAAGAACAGGAAGGGAAATCAGGAACAGCGGATGCCAGACTCATCCCCTCTCTCCCCTCTAGCCCCCTTGGTCTCCTCAGCAACCCCTGAACCCCAAGTTTACTCACAATGACTTCCTGCTTAGGGCGGGCCTCCTTCCTGACACCAGTCCATTAACAACCATCTGCTGAGGGTAGGAGAAGTGGGGGGAGGTGGTTCAACTACAAGCTGAATAAGATCTGAGGATCTAGTGTAGAATGGGGTGACTACTGCCGATAACACTGTATCGTATCACTGAAAATTGCTGAGAATACAGCTTAAATGTTCTCACCAAAAAGAAAGACATGAGGTGACAGATGTGATAATTAAGCAGATGAGGGGGGATCCTTTCACAATGTGTATGAATATCAGGTCACCACAATGCACACTTAACATATCTTACAATTTTAAGTCACTTATACCTCAACAAAGGTGAATTTTTTAAAAAGAAAAATACATTTTTTAAAAACCACCTGCGTACCTATTTTGGGGACTCAACTCTGGAGAAATGGGTTCGGGGCCTCAGGGAACTTAGATGGGGGAGGGAGGCTAAGTGCTACAGAGGGTGAGTGGCTTCGGAGGAATCAGGTACAAGGCACACAGCTCAAGCCAGGGCCTGCCTTGGCCCTGGGCCCCACCCACAAAGTAGTTCAGGTCCGAACTACTCACTGGGCCTCCTCAGAGGTCTCTGTCCTGATTCTAGTTGATGTCTTCTTTACCAGTCGGTGATGTCTGAGGAGCAGGGCAAATTTACAGCCCCCAAGGTGCCTAGAAGACTGGCTGCTTAGTTGTAACTGCAGAGGCTGAGAGATGGAAGAAGAGAGAACCCACCCTCCAGGCAGGGCTAGGCCATAGCGGGGAGGCCCACTTCCCCAACACACAGTGCTGCCTCCTCCCCTAGTGCACGGCCCCCATGCACTGGGCAGATAAACTGCAGGACAGGTTCAGGTGGCCCAACACTCGTGGCAGAGAGGGCGAGCAGTCAAGGAAGCACCGGGACACTGAGGGACTGACATTCTGCTCACCGAAGAGAGAACTATTTTCTGAAAACATTTTTTTTTTTTAATTTTTTTCCACGTTTATTTATTTTTGGGAGAGAGAGAGACAGAGCATGAACGGGGGAGGGGCAGAGAGAGAGGGAGACACAGAATCGGAAACAGGCTCCAGGCTCTGAGCCATCAGCCCAGAGCCTGACGTGGGGCTCGAACCCACGGACCGCAAGATCGTGACCTGGCTGAAGTCGGACGCTTAACCGACTGCGCCACCCAGGCGCCCCGAGAACTATTTTCATATTAAGACTAGAAGGTACCATATTTTCATACCCATTCTGTGCCTGGCACGGGGCTAGGCACTTGACTGTAATATCTCCTCCAATCCTCCCAACACCCCCTTGAGGAGGCTAGTACCGCTGATTTCAGATGATGATGCTGGGGCCCTCCAGGTGCAGTGCTATGCCCAAACCCCAAAGCTCCAAGTGGCAAGGCTCAGTCCCTTCCCCTCAGCAAACTGCCTCTTGCCCACTGCAATGCTGCTTGAACCTCTTTGCCAACAGTTCTGTGAACAACGGGATGCTGATTCTACACCATGCGGGATTTAAGTTAGTTGTAAAGCGTAACAGGGACAGGTACCAGCTCCAGGACTGACCAGGTAAGGGGAGCTGGAGGCATACGGGCCCCACAGCCCCCACAGCCTCTGGCAAAGGTCCCAGGTGGGAGATGCAGGCATCCCAAGGTTTGTGTGTGTGAGAAAAACCCCAAAAGAGAAAGTTGCCCTCCATCTTACAGATACAGGGACTAAGGCCCTATGAGGTAAAACAACTTGCCAAAAAGCCCCATGGCTCATTAAAACCGGGACTAGAACCAAGCCTCAGCCCCATGCTTTCTTGCCACACATGTAAAACTGCCATGCCCATCATCTGGATACCTCTCAAAGAGGAGAGAAAGTTGGTTCCTAGGAAGGAGGGCAGCAGGTGACCCACATGTGGATAAGCAGGTTCCCCAGCCAAAAAGATCGTTCCCTCCTATTTTCATGCCCAACACCTCCCCATAAGGGATTTAGTCCTTTGAGTCTTTCATTCATTCATTTAAAACTATATATTGAACAACTACTATATGCCAGGCCTTGAGTACAAGGTCACAACTGACATGGTCCTGCCCTCAACATCCTTCAGCCTAGTGGGTGCAGGGGCCCAGAGTTCCCTGTGAAGCTCCTGATTATTCACAGAACATTCACAAATTCTGTATTGCAAATCCACCTACCTACTAAAATCTATAACTCCTACATCAATACTTGCAGCGCTTCTGTGGTTATTTGGAGAAATGTACACACTCTGCACAGCCAAAAATGTGAGTTACCATCATACACACTCCCACCTGAGGTCGACCAAGGCTGTACTCTGCTTTCCGGCTCCAGCTCTCACAGTGTACTCAAGTGTCCTTTTCACCG